TGAATGATTTATCTTCATTACAACTTACTTAAAATTTCAGAAAACCAAATTTTTCAGGTTTCTTCAATTGGCTTAATCTGATTGGTTGTTATGTTGTAGTTACAGTTAACGAATCAGGATGTGGTTTGAGGGTTAATAGGACACGTGATCACTTTCCTTTCACACATGGGTAGTTACTTCGAAGAGAGATTTCCTGGGTCGCTGTACAATCTTCATACTTCACTTGATCGAACGGCTCGCTTTCATCCTCACTGCTGTAATTTCATTTCACATTTTGAACCAAAATAAATACTTTCCTCACATTTGATCACACATTTTTTTTTTCAAAACAATGGACTTCGATTTACCTGTTGTATATCCAATGACCGAAAAGCCAACAATTTCAATCTTTGATATATTTTCAAAGATACTATGTAAATATATATATATATATATATATATATTTTTAACTTCTTTTTGATTTCGTTTTTACAGTTTCCTCTTTTTATTACCCTTTCTTTTTTTGTTTTGATGGAGATCAAATTTAGCATTTTATCGATTTGACATATTAACTCGTTTTGAAAAATATTTCCTTCCGATCAGTGAACATTAAAAAAAATTTTCTCCGTTTTGATCCCTTAATATATCACGTTAAAAATGACAACCAATTGATGTAACTGACATTTTTTTCATTTTCATAATTGTTATAAAAGTATTTTTCCGTCCCCCATAAAGTGAAATTAAAAATCTTTTTGCCACATTTAAGATTTAACTTTTTTTCCTTTCAAAATGATCGATTGATAACTTTTATGGACTAACATGTAAACGAATTTTCAACAAGAAAGAATCTGTGTTTGTGATTCGAATGAACGTTTGTTTAACTTGGCGGAACAGAATTTTCATTGGAAGATTAATGGTGTGCGTTTATAAATACTAACATTTCCCATGATCCATACCCATTCTTTAGCGAGATGTCTAACCGTAAATCCTTGCAGGCAGGTCCTGTGCGTACTAACCTCGAACTGGTTGAGGATGTCCAGCACTGTTTTTTGATCTTACATTTTCTTTTTTCTTACCTACATTTATATACGTTTGTAAATTAAACCAATCACAATTGACAATGAATGCATGAAAACTTTTCACGGATTTTGACGACATTCTGGGGGATTTTTTTTTTCTTTTTTTGTCCAAGTCAGTGAATTTGTTTTGCTCATGATAAGACTAAAAAAAAAAAAACACTATAAGAAATTCGCTATTTTTTATTCATAATGTTGAAGGTGTTAAAATTATTCAACATTTTAACAAGAAAAATCTAAAGTCGATTTTAAAAATGGCCGCCAAACTTTGTTGATTTATTTAAGATGGAATGATTTATTATGACATGTCTTTAATTTGTATTTATTTTCCATTTTTCTAGTTGAATAGTTCACCTGTATTGCATATGATCCATTATTATATATAATTAGTTTACAATAAAATGTGTATTTTATATGAATATTACATCATGATAATTGGGAATTCAGAATGGGGGATCCATATCATAGATTCGGGGTGGTGGGTACCTAAAGTCTTCAGCAACTATTTTTTACCAGTGCTCATATTGCAATTTTTGCCCCAACCCTGCTTACAGGAACCGATAGTAAATGTCATCATTTCAAAACATGTTTATTTTTATATATAATTATTTCCTTATGAATATAAACGTCGTTTGAATATGAAATTAAATTAAATAACATATAAGCATGAAATGAAATTACATGATATAAAATATTTCTTATCTGATATTGATTTTATATTGCTCATTTATTACTGCTGAACAATCCCTGTTGCAGACCCCGCTCAGGTTTATTTTTCTTTTTTCAACACCTAGAGACTATCTGCGGTTTTTACTTCAACTATACAAACCAATTACAGTTTCTGGTGAAAACGTATTATCTGGCATAATCAACAGGTCAGCTCGCTCTATCGCTCGGTCAGGATGACTTGTGATTTCGTTCTAACACAACTACCGACTGCTTCCAAATAGTTTCGTCGATCTAATTTTACCCACAAGGCTTGGTTCAACTCATGATGTAGCTTTGGATAGTAGATAGGCCTATTACAGTTATAATGTGAGTTAAATTCATTTGAAGTCGCCGACTGGCCGTCCATGCTGCTGACTGATTCGCTTGAAGTCGCCGACACACATTTCTTTCAACACGCGAGAGACGGTCTGTTTGAAAGTCTAAATTTGTGGGGTTTTATAAGAAAAATTTTCCCGAAAGTAGGTTCGAGTAAAATAATTTTTTTAGTTATTTCTGATTGGTCAAATATTTCACATGAAATACATACTTTGATTTAAACGGTGTATATTGTATTGTTAAATCTTTCTGGCATGTTTGTAATATTGGCTGTTATTGTGTAGAAAATAAACTTTGAACGTGTTTTAATATGGTATGTATGTGGGTATGCAATTTGTGTTGGGAATAGCGTTTCTTTCCTATAGTAATAGACCAAGTAGCAGAATGAAGCGAGTCTAACGAGCGTTTTGGGTTGACCTATAGGAAATAAAATTAATTACACTATTACTTGTGTAAGCTGTCTCTATGTAGGCCAGTGTGAACCTATGAGAAGTTAGCGAACGAGGAAATTAGCGTTTCCCATTTTTTTTTTTTTTTTTAACGAATTCACCCCAAGCAAGGCGATAATTCTACTAAGATGCAAGGGCTCATTATGAATGAAAGAGAATGAAAAGATTTTAGAAGGAATCGGGAAGCCAATCCTTTACAGGAAACAAAGAAAAAACCTCTACTTCTGTTCAAAAGAACGAGGAGAAGTGTGAACCGGACAATGGGCGAATCTATTTCCTCCTATTGTTTATGGCTTAGTATTTAAGTTATTTGACATCCTGACTCTTAGTTTGCTTATTTTATTTATTATTTTAATTTTTTCTTTCTTTTTTAGATGATGATAACGGAATGCATATGGATATTGACACTTTGGGTTCTCCTTCTCAATGTTGGTTTAGAGAATACATCACCAAAGATCCCACAAAAAATGATAGTCCTTCTGAGTTTAATAACGATACACACGTTTTTGACATCGCGCCAATCGATACGGTACAATATGCCGAGAGCTCTCGACCCAACGACAACAGGTTGATTGGCAGTGCTCCCAGCACCAAAGCCGGGGGTTCAGAAAGAATAAATCCTTCAAATCAATACATAAAAATAAATGACAATAACGTTGGAGCTTTTGACAACACTAATAAAATATTTAAAAGAAAGTTAGATTTTAACGATGAACAAACTGAGGAAATGTGGAAGCCGGATGTTCCGCCGGCGAAACGCGTCTCATCCATTTTAAATACCAATAAGAAGAGAACATTTGAACGTAAACGGATACGTCGCTTAACCATTTGCAAACTGCAAAATATTGAAGACATCGAAAATTCGTTATGGAAATACCTTCTCGTCCGCAACATTCTACTTCGTCTTTGTAAAGATGAAAATCTAAAGAAAAACAAATGTCCATAGACTTCGGACCGGTTAGATATGTTCAAGGATTTCTTGGATTGACAACAATAAAAATGACTGACACTTTCGAACAGTATACTATCGTTTTATCAATTTCATTCGAAACAACTATAAATATTTTAAAAAATAAATTTGGTAAATTTTATTTTTAATAATGTTTACAGTTAGTATCCTAACATTTCAATTTTGTAAATTTTTCAAACCCCACATTCCAACATTTTTAAAATAACACCCTTATATTTCGTACTTATCATTTTTCAAAATTACATTTGAATATTTTTTTTTCAAATTGAAATTCTTATATTTAAATTTTACCAAATTTTGAAAAAAGAAATTCTGACATTCGTAAATTTCAATTTTGTAATTTTTCAAATACAAATATTTTAACTATATTCATTTTTGTCTATATTTCTGAGATGAGGTATTATGTACACAATTTACATTATTCGGACTATTGTCCGATTCTTTATCGCCATATTTATTACAACGTTTCGGTCGTTGTACGCTTCGGCCTTCTTTATTTCGCTCACTAGTATAGACTGTTCTAGTCTCACGTGCCATGTTTAATGGATGCCAGTTATCCCCTGTTAATTCCCTTCTCCGAGTTCTCCACTGCTTTAACTGGATATTGAACTCACACTCTTTCGATCTTGTCATTGGATCTATCTTTATCCACCGTGTCATGTGTCCTTGAGGACATCTGTGTATGACTTTCTGGATATTATAAACCTAATGTCTTCAACAGCTATTTTTACCAGTGCTCATATTGCAATTTTTGCTGTTATCATCATATTTTTACCAGAGCTCATATTGCAATTTTTGTTGTTGTTATCGCTTTCCTCTGGTACTCCTTATTACTGGTTCCCATATTGTATTCATTTCTAGGCTTGGTCGGCTCAAGAGATTTTTGTAGACTAGCATATATGCTGATTCCTTAAGTTTACTAGTGTGAGTTCAATACCCGGTTAAGGCAGTGGAGAACTTGGAGAGGGAAATTAACAGGAGATAACTGATGACTGACATCCATTAAACATGTCACGTGGAACTAGAACAGTCTACCCCAATGAGCGAAATACAGGGTTCAGTTGGACATTCCAACCACCTGAAGAAGGCCGGAGCGTACAAAGGCTGAAATGTTGTAATAAATATGGTGACAAAGATGAGGGCAATAGTCCGAATAATGTAAATAGTATATTCATTTTTCAGATTAAATTAATTTCATACTTTTCAGTTTGTATATTCGGAAATTTCTTTTTTATCTAACTTTTACGTTTTTTTTTTTGTTTTTTTTTTTACATATTTTCAAACTACAATTGGATCATTTCAATTGTTGAGTTTTTAATAAATTCCGTACATTTCCATTCACAATTTTCTACTCTTATTCTCATTTTGCAATATTTTTAAATTGATTTTTGTATATTTTTCTGCAATAAATTTTTTTTTTTTGTTTATTTATTTGAATGTAATTTTTTTTCCCTTATTTGCCTGGTGATTGCCTTCTATTCATTAAACAATTTCAATGAAGAGCATAAAAGAAAAAAATGCAGAATGGAGAATAACGAAGAAGAGGAAATGAAAAACAAAAATGGAAAAGCAAAAAGTAAAAAGAAAGAGATAAAAAAAACAGTAAATAAAATTAAAGGGGAAAGAAGACGGAAAGCAAGAACAGAAAAATGTCTGAAAAGAAAAGAAAAAAATAGAGAAAAAAAAGACAAATAGAAATGGAAAAAAAGAAGTAGAAAAATAAGTTGAAGATCAGAAGATACAAAATACTAAGCAATGTATATTAAGTGAGTTTCATCGACCTGTTTGGTTTTGAACTTTCTATTCTATCTACATTTTATGCACTTTTTTTTAATTGAATATAGGCAAAATACTAGTGAGCCATAGTTAAAAAGAAAGAGATCAAAGGAAAATGACGCAATGTAAACACTGATGAAACAAGATTCAAAAGTAAAGCAGAAAAACGTAGAAAAAAAAGAAAAAGGAGTAAAAAGATGAAAACGACAAGAAATTAAAACAAAATAGATAATAAATTGGAAAATTAAATAGATACAAAATGACTTAAAAAAATAAAATCAAACAAACAAAAATGTTAAAAAACAACAAAAAACAAAGAAAAAGCAGATAAACGCGAAACTAAATGAAATAAAAAGACAAAATAAAAGAAGAAAACGAAATGTTTTCTTTTTGACGATTTCGTTTTTTCTGTCTTCGACGTTTCTCTTATTTTGCAGTTTCTTTTTTCTTTTTCATTCTCACTATTTGTAGTTTACTTTTTCTGACATTCTAAATTCCCTCCTGACTGTTTAGATCTTTTCTGGTGTTTCATTCTTTGTCCTTCTTTCTTAATTTTCTCACTTTTTTCTTTCTTTCTGAGAAGAATAACATTAAAAGAAGAAAAATTCTCTTTTTAAAGTTTTTTTTTTCTTTTTCATTCTTTTTGCAATTCTTTTCTTATTTTTCTTCTCTTTTTTTAATTTTTTGCTTCTCTCTCTCGTCTTTTATTTTTTTTTTTCTGCCTTTATTTACTTCTTATTGAGATTTTTTTTCATCTCCTTGTTTTCGCTTTTTCCTCTGACTTTTTCATTTATGTATTCTTTCTTCTTTGTTTATATTTTAACTTTCTTTTTATTTTCCACCTTCGATTATTTTTCTTCGTTTCTGCTATTTTTCTTTTGTGTGTGTGTGCGTGTGTGTGTGTTTTTTTTGTTTGCTATTATTTTTCCATTTTCCTCTCTATTTCTCGTTTTTGTTATTTTCTGTTTTTCTCTTTTTTTACAACTTTATGTTTTTCATCTTTTTTCAGCCATTTTATTTTATTTTGACACTTCCATTTATTTTTCGATTCTTTATTGGCATTTCAATTTATTCTTTCATTCTGCATTTTCTTTACTTCATTTTTTTCCTTTCTTATATTTGTGTCTTTTTCATTTTTAAAAATAAATCATTATAATTTTCTTGTCTTCGTGTCGTTTTCTTTTAACTTTTTTATTTTCTGATTTATTTTTTTAGTTTTATCTTTTCTTTTTCTTTTTTTTTTTTTTGCTTTTCGTACTTTTTGCTTTAATCCTTTTTTTCTTTTGTTTTTTTATTGGTTGTTTGTTTTTCTGCATTTTTCATTTTTTTTTTTTTTTTTTTTTCAGCTTTTTAATTTTTCTTTCTGAAATACATCTTTCTTTTGTAATTCATTCTTTCCTCTTCATCTAATAATTTCTTAATACTGCCTTATTTATGCTTTTCTTTCCTTTCCGACTAATTTTCAGTTTAGCACCCGCGCTCATTTTCTAATAAAAATTTCCCGAATTCTGATATTTAGGTGTAAATGTACATGCTTTATTCGAAAATAACAATGAAATTTTGTTAAAGTCTACCGTTTTAGAGTTATCAATACTAAAAATTCGGACTCATTCACGTCTCGGCTACAGCACGGAAGCCATAACTGGCGTTGTTTGCATACATTTGCTGCGGAACAGCTGTGCGTGAAAGCTTCACTTATTTTGATTATTGCGCACGCAGTGGGCAAACTTTGCGCGAAATTTAAAAAGAGCATAATTAATAATAACAAAAACAGCAAATTATTTATTTTGCTTATTTACAAAAAAAAAGAAAAGAATTATTTGCGTCCCGGGTACATGTTGGCCGCTTCTGTCAGGAAATTGTGAAGGCGCTGAGTGTGGTAAGGGAATGCTTTAAAAAAAAAAAAAAAAAAAAAAAGAGTAACATATTGCTTTAAGAACACAGTTTTTATTCCAGGTCGGATGACAATATCCGTCATAGTGTTCCACAGGCTTTCCACTGTTTGGGATGTGGATATTCCGGTATACGGGGTCGACTCAGTAATAGGACGTGTGCATGTAAATAGTCCTCAGATGAGCGCAGAACCCTTGCGTCGTAATTAAAACAAGAAAGATCAGTAAAAAAGGCCGTTATTTACGTAAGATAAAATGCCCTGTAGTTTCCTTTCAGAGTCGGCCATCAACACAATGCCATCTACGTGTTTTATATTAAGATTGCGCCCATCGATAATAAATCCTCATAGGATGAATCTGTAATTGCAACATTGCTTTTCGTTTTCATTAGCTGTTACGTCGGAATGTTGCTGAGTTGAAAATTTCAGGATTACAGGTTCAGCCCTTAAAATAAGCCACCTGGAAGATCTTGAACTTCTGTGTAATAGCAAACTTTAGAAATCGTCTACAGAAGCTATTGGCAAATAGAGACCACTATTTGAAAGATGTCATTTTAAAACAAAATTAATAGAAACTGTAGCCCTTTGTTTAAACATTTTTTTGGTAGCAGTTACCTTGATTTTTTGTTAACCTTTGAAATGTTTGAGGTATTTTTGCCGCACCCTGTATAAGGTCATAAAATACTTTTTATGTATTATATAAGAACTGCTCTTCAGTTATGTAACACTGACGAATGCTTTATTTGTTTGATATTCCAGATTTTATAGTTTTTATTGAGTTTAAGTGCGAACTTAAACATTTTGTTGGTGACCCTACTTTCTGTCTTCTTCCAGTTGATAGTTAGTCCATTTTTCTCGCTCTCTTCTACCACCGTGTCTAAGATGCCCTGTAGTTTCTTTTCAGAGTCGGCCATCAACACAATGCCATCTGCGTGTCTTATATTAAGATTACGCCCACCGATAATACATCCTCAGAGGGTGTATGACTAAATCAGTTTTATCACTAAAAATAAAATAAAAATTCTTACAATCTAAAAAATATTTTCTGGCTTTAAATAACCTACAAAGGTTTAAGTCGTAGAAAACGAAAATTAATGAAACTCGTTTTGGAATGAAAGGTTTAATTTTAACCAATTCTCAGTTTTTTCGTCATCAAAATTAAATTTTATTTTAAATAATTAATGATTGTGTTAAAAAAAGTCTTGGTCTTATTTTTGTCGTTGTTATTGTGATGATTATCGTCAATATTTAATGTTGTTGCTGCTGTTATGGTCTACGACTTTTATTTCTTCAGTTTCCGGTTCTGTCACTGGGTTCATTATCGATCATTATGCAGTCGAAGGGTTGAGGGGTGAGAGCGTATTTTGCAGTCGTGATTGGAGCGATGCCAAAAACAAGAGCCTCGACATGAAAGTCAGAATTATCAGTGTTCTTCTCGAAGCATTTGATGATGTCTTCCTCACATAGATGCTTGACTGGGAAAGTCGAATGATCGGTGTGCATATGCATTCCAATTTGAGCATCTAGGAAAAGAAAGAAAAATAAAGAGTTATCCAAAATAGATATGCCGAATGGGAATCAGAAATTTTACATGAATATTTATGCACTACATTTATATCCCAAGAATATTTATATTTGGATAGACTTTAAAAAGAAACTATGAGGTTTCATTATGTAAACCATTGATTTTCAACGGCCGAGCCGCGGCACAACTGTGTGCCGCGCGATCTTCTATATATATATATATATATATATATATATATATATATATATATATATATTAATGCATGTTTCATTAAATAATATAGACAAGTTTTGTCTATTTATTTTAAGTAAGATCCTTTCATATTGTCTGATAAGCTTAATCACATTATCGTTGAAAGACGAAAGGAAAACACCATATTGATACATGTTTAAATCGAATCTAAGCTTTCGGCTTACATAAGCCATTATCAAAGATGACAATTCCAATAAATCTAACAACACACGGACGAAACAACAATGATAGTCCGCCTTTACTGCATGAAAAATTTCCAATTAACGACAAACTCGAAATATACGAGACGCGGAAGCGAAAATCACGTCGCAGCTCTTGACGTCACACATGACCACGCGATAGTGAAAAAGGAGATGTATTAAGTATGGGAAGCCGTTGGTATAAACCAATGGCTTCTGTTATAAATTATAGGCATTTCGTAGTTTATTTTGTTCAGGTTAGGTTTCAACTGTTTTATGTATATAGCTTCAAGAATTTTTAGTTTTTGTTAATTGTTTTCATGTTTAAGTATAGTTGTGTTTTCAACAAAGATTTTCCGGAATTGTGTATGCGACCAGGCATGTTGTTTTAAATGCCTAAAAATGTTAGAGTTGTCATTTAAATGTAGAGTCAAGTTAAATGGTGTTTTCCTTTTGTCTTTCAACGATAATATGATTAAGCTTATCAGACAATATGAAAGGAACTTACTTATATATATATGAAGAAATACAGTTTTAAGGTGTGCTATATTTACGGGATAAAGTGCTCAATATCAGAGATAGGGCGTATGCAAATATAAATATAAAAATGAACAGAGGCGACAGGCTGTTTCATGCTGTACGCAATCGTTAGATCGTCCTGAAAAATGGTCTGACGATTGCGTACAGAATGAAAACAGCCTGTCGCCTCTGAGTGTTCAATTTCAATGTTCGCTTATATATATATATATATATATATATATATATATATATATATATATATATAGAGAGAGAGAGAGAGAGTGTGTGTGTGTGTGAGTAGTAATGATACGGTATTAATATTTGAATAAATAAATAAGTATTAAACGTTTTTCAAATAATAATAACAATAAGCTTTTTAATTATTTTTTCTTGTGTTCGCATAAGTTTTTTTTTCTTTTCTAGATATAAGAAATCTGTATGTCCGTGATTGTGTGTATGTAAAATTTATTTATATATATGAGCTTTTAAAAGGCGCATTCATTTTTTATGATCGATCTTAAATTTTAAAAATTTTAAAATCTAACATAAGTTTTTCTATTGTTTATAAATTACATTTTCAAAACAAAACCTTTCATTTGCATTGATGAATCTGAGGACGAAACGCGTCGACTAAGATAATTTCACCTTTTGTCTTTATTCATAATATCCTTTTAGGAATACATTTTTAGTTATATCTTAAATTTTACACACACACAGATTTTTTTTATATCCAGAAAAGAAAACATTTTTACAAACACAAGAAAAATTAAATAAAAAGCTTAATTGCAATATCTTGTCTGTCGTCTTTAAAGAAACTTGTATAAGATAGATAGATAGATAGATAGATATGAATAGAATGAGATAGATAGATAGATAGATATGAACAGAATGAGATAGATAGATAGATAGATAGATATGAACAGAATGAGATAGATAGATAGATAGATAGATAGATAGATAGATAGATAGATAGATAGATAGATAGATAGATATGAACAGAATGAGATAGATAGATAGATAGATATGAACAGAATGAGATAGATAGATAGATAGATATGGACAGAATGAGATAGATAGATAGATAGATATGGACAGAATGAGATAGATAGATAGATAGATAGATAGATAGATAGATAGATAGATAGATAGATATGGACAGAATGAGATAGATAGATAGATAGATATGGACAGAATGAGATAGATAGATAGATAGATATGGACAGAATGAGATAGATAGATAGATAGATGAACAGATAGATAGATGGACATAGATAGATAGATAGATAGATAGACAGAGATAGATATGAATAGAATGAGATAGATAGATAGATAGATAGATATGAACACAATGAGATAGATAGATAGATAGATAGATATGAACACAATGAGATAGATAGATAGATATGAACAGAATGAGATAGATAGATAGATAGATAGATAGATAGATAGATAGATAGATATACTTAGTTGTATGTGAGTTTGTAATCCTAGATTCACGCCGTTGTGATCGCTAGAGTCTATCTGACTATCGCAATGGCGTGAAACCCAGGATCACAAACTCACATCAATACAACCAAGTGTGTTAGCTCTATCACTGATACTGAGCGCTTTTCAATAAGTACTGTGCACATATATATATATATATATATATATATATATATATATATATATATATATATATAAGTAACACATTCTATGTAAGATATGTCATACGTACCTCTGATATATGAAAATATATCTAAATTTGAAATTGGTGTATTTTCGGTCACTGGATATCCAACAGGTAATTCGAAGTCCATTTCTTTAGGGTGTTCAGTTGTGAGAAGAAAAGAAAATATTCGTTTTCTTTCAAAATGGCAAATGAAATTACGGAAGGTAAACGAAACCCAGTCGTTCGTCCCGGCTCCGGTATGAAGAATGTGTAGCGATTCTGAAATCACTCATTCAATACTCTTATGTGAAAGGACGGAGATCACGTGACTTACCAGCACAAAAAGCGGCTTTCCGAGTGGTTGTTATTAGCCTCACCGTGAAAACCAATCATATTCAACCGACTGATGATCTGAATCTATTCAGCTCGCTTTCCGCCACAGTAAAAAAAAAATTAAAAAAATTAGATCTTTGATTCTCAACTGCCGTGCTACGGCTCCCTATTGTGCCGCAGGATCCTCTGAAGTGTGCCCAGGTAGCATTGGCACGGCATACATATATATGTATGTATGTGAAAAGTAGAAATGGTACAGCGTTAATATTTGAATAAATGAATAAGTATTAAATTTTTTTTTTTCAAATAATTCTTTTCACTTTTTCTTCGATCGTGTTATTTTAAAAATACTTTATCTTAATATTCATTTCTTAAAAAAGTATTTTTTAAGGGCTCAAAATAAAATATTCAATGGTATCCATTAATACATTTTGGATTTCAATACAAAAAGAATATCCCACATAGGCTTAAAAAGCTTTATCCGTTTCATTGCAATTTTCTACTTCTTACTTATGTGTATTAGGTTTCACAACCCTAAATAACATGAAAAAATAAAAAGCGATAAAGACTACGCTCAACTAAAGAAGAAATGGGGGTCTGCTTATTGCACATTCGACCAAACATTGAAGAAATCGCGAAAAGACATCAGTTACAGGTTTCACGTTAAATAAGCTGCACAAATAATTGAATAGAAACATTGAAAGAAAGTAAGTTCATATTTGTGGGTGTATTTTTTAAATCTGTTTTTATTTCATATTTAAATGTATACAATTTTGCTAAGTGTGCCGTGATATTTTCATTTACTCCAAGGTGTGCCGTGTCTATTTTTATTTGCTCCTAAGTGTGTCGTGCTATTTTCATTTGCTTTTAGGTGTGCCGTTGCTTAAAAAGGTTGAGAAACACTGATTTACATAAATACTCACCATAATTCTAAAGAACATCTTTTAGCTAACAACAATTGACTTTTCTTTCTTGGGTCATAAAATAAATATTCGCCTATTTGAGTAAAGCTTTACTGTAGAAAAATAAAAGACTATAATAAAAAGCGAAAAAGCTTAAAATTTGAGATTAAAAATTTTATGAAATCTAGAACATTTATTTTTGAAAAACGAGGATATATATCGGATATTATGATGAGAGGTTAGCGTTTTTCGAAATTGCTTGCTCGCTTAGGTGCCTTAGCGCCATGCCCGCTTTCGGCGATCATCTCTTTCCACCTCGGACGAAGCTGAAGATAGTCGCGATAGATTCTGTCTTTGTCACGTCCATAATTCGATCCAAATATGGCGAACATTGCCGTTCACTCTCACGCTTCGATGCAATCTTGTAATTTTAATCCTTCTTTTCAGATGATATGACCGAGAAATCGAAGCTGCCATGACCGACAGTAGCTCCCCTTTTCACTTCAGCTATTCCCAAATCTTACCCGTGTATAATATCTACAATGTGCTAAATTACAATTTTTTTTACAATGTTCACCATGCATAGGGCTCGAGAGTAACTCAAAGTAGAGAGTTAAAGAGTAAGAAGTACAGCTTGTGTGGAAGATAACGGTTAACCCTAGACTTGAACAGATTAAGATTGTAGCGATTGGGGGGGTGGGAAACATTCTCTTGGGCGTCGGTTCAGCAGAGCAGTGGTTTGTGGGAAGAAGCTATTTGAGTGAAAATTATATCTCACCAAGGGAATATGTGGTAATTGGGGTGGTTCACTAAAAAAGAAAAAAAACCTCAAATGTAATCCCTTTAAAGTTTATAAAGTATAGAAAAAATTCCTTTTTGCTGGTCGTCGTCAGAATTCGTTAAAAATATTTTACTTTCTTGTAGTCACGGAATTGTAATTTTATTTATAAGAATAAGAAAGGAAACATGAGACCAAATAAATTTTAAAAATGAATAATGATGCTTATAAAATCCTTAGTACTAATACCACAACTATTACTACAAATAATATTACCATTAATAATATTAACTAAAAATATCCGTGAAAATTTCAGGGTTTTCCTATTTTAAATCTTAATTCCAAAGTTAATGATTGAACAAGTTCATGACGAGTTCTATGACATTAAAGTATCTGTAGAAATTCTCCTAGTTAAATATTTTAGATTAACAACTTAACAATTGCAATAACAATAATAAATATAAGTGCTGATCTCCATTCAAAGAAGTATGGGGATTCAACTAAAAGATGTTTTCCATTTCACTGAAACAGACGTTAAGCATTTCTTTCTTTTTATCGCTGAAATTAAGTAGCGTCTCTGATATGTCTTTCCACCAAATCAGAACGGAATAGTACATTATTTATGAGGTACTGGCAGGACGTAACGGTCGTGCTAACTAAGGGAGAGTCAAACAGAATTATAAAAAAAGGTACGAAGGATATTATTAAACTGCAACTAATAACATTTCTTGGAAAAAAAACGAAAAAGATATATTTAAATAGTAATATTAAGAAACACTCTATTAAAATTAATACTAATATTAATTTAATATTTTTGTAAAGTTATTAACATATATCTTAATAAATTAAAACATTTTATTTATTATCAAGCTCGTAAAACAAAGTTTTCAAATTTAACAAAAAAGTAAATGTATTTGCAAATATTTCTAATAAATAAGCAAGATGTCACTTGAGTGCCAAATAAACAACTTGAAAGTTTAATCGTCGAAATAAAAAATATTAATAATCTTTTTCATGATATAATTATTAATAAGATCAAGATTATTATTTTTATTGTTTTTATTTCCTTTGATTTCTGGCGTTTACACATTTCTTTCCAGAGACCTAAGGTTAGAAATGGCATCATGACACTTTCCACTGACACACACACACACACAAAATACATAGATAAAGCCCTTCGTAAAGTGTGGGCTGTACTTGTCAGAACAATTTTTGTATCTCTTTTAAGCATCGACTTCCAGGAATCCCTTCAATTAGTCTACTGGAATCTTTTCCAACCAATCCTAGGGCTCCAACTACAACAGGGATTATTGATGTTCCCATGTGCCACATTTTTGAGATTTCGATTTCAAGGTCCTTGTATTTTGACAGCTTTTTGAATATCTTCAAAGATACATTGCAGTCTACAGGGACTGCCATATCAATAAGGAGGCACTTTTTGTTTGTGGTCTCTAATAACAATGTATGGGCTGTTGGCTTTGATTGTTCTTTCAGTGTGTATTGTGTAGTCCCATAGAATTGTAACAGGCCCTATCTCCGTGACCGGGTCTGGGTGGTGATCATACCAATTTCTTTCAGTTTCCTTCCCGTGGAAGTTACATATCTTCCAGTGCAGATATTGGCCCACTCTGTCATGCTGGGTTTTATATTCAGTGGGTGCCAATATCGTGCAACCTGATACAAGATGATCAATTGTTTCTGGATATTTATCACACAATCTGCATTTTGGGCTAACAGAATATTTTAGTATGTGTGCTTGATAATTCCTAGTTAACAAGCATTGGTCCTGTGCAGCTAGGATAAAACCTTCAGTTTCAGCTTTCAACCCTGCACACATTATTATTATTATTATTATTATTATTATTATTATTATTATTATTATTTCCTTAGGTTTCTGTTATATACATATTTCTTTCTGGGTCTTAACCAGAACCAAAGATAAAAAATGGCTTCACGTTATTTTCTTTGATCCTTTTTTGTAAAAAAAAAAAGAGAGAAAGAAAAACTAAGATCACAAATATTTTACATAGATAAATCTCGTCCTAATGTGTGAGCTGTGTACTTGTGAGTACCATTTTTTTTTGTATCTCTAAGGTTTAGAGGCTACCATAAATCCGTTCAATAAATCTATCGGATGAATCATTGAATCCGGAAGCTCCAACTGGAATTATTGATCTACTCAAGTGCCACATTTTTAAGATTTCCTCTTCGAAGTCCTTGTATTTTGATGGATTTTTAAGATTTTCAAAGATACATTACAGTCTACAGGAACTGCCATTTCAATAAGAAAGCACATTCTGTTCTTGCGGTCTTTGATCGCGATGTCTGTGCGATTAGCCTTGTTTGTTCAGTGTGTGTGTGTGTGTGTATGTGTGTGTGTGTATTGTAAAGTCCCATAAATATGTAACAGGTTCGATCTCTGTAATCGGGACTGGGTGACATTCATACCAGTTTCTTGCAGTTTCGTTTTCGTAAAAGTTGTAGATTTTCTAGTACAGATATTGGCCAAATCTATCAGTCCGTGCTAACAGTGTTGATACAAGATTGTCAATAGTTTCTGGATATTTATCACAGAATATGCATTTGGGTTCAAAATAATTTTTCATTATTATTATTATCTTTTGATCGATTTTTATTTTCAACCAAAGTTTTTGCATCGTTGTTTTTCGACTTCAAGCCGTACGACCTCAAAGAGCACTTTTCGCAGAATATTTGCAGTGACAAGCAACGCAGTCTTTTGACGTGATTGGATACCAGGCTTTATTCCGATTTTCTTAATGGATGTATTCAGGTTCGAGGGTGTTGGCCCCCAACGCTCCAATTATAACTGGGACAATAGTAACCTTAACGTTCTAAATTCTGACAGGACAGTGTACTTTTTTTAGCTTTCCGATTACTTTCGACTTGATATTATCGTGGCCATTATTATTATTATTATTATTATTATTTTAATTCCTTTGATTTCTGATGTGTACTCATTTCTTTCCGGGTCTCAACCAGAGACTTAAGTTCAGAAATGGCATCATGATAATTTCCTCTGACAAATAAAAAAAAACAAAAAAAAACAACAAGACACACATTTTACATAGACAAAGCCCTTCGTAAGGTGTGGGCTGTACTTGTGAGAACAATTTTTTGCATTTCTTTAAGGCATGGGCTTCCAGGAATCCCTTCAATGAGTCTACTGGAATCTTTTCCAATCAATCCTAGGGCTCCAACGACAACGGGGACTGTTGATGTTCTCATGTGCCACATTTTTGAGATTTCATTGTATTTATTA